GAATGATGAATAAAGCGGATAAAATGCATTCATCTTGACACAAGCTAAAGCGGGCGGAATTTAGATCTCTTAGTTAATTTTTGAACGTTTCCTTAAGACTTGGAGGTGCTTTTGTATTCACCTTAAATATGAGTAATAATCTGTTAGTACATTCAGGAGATTGCGTTGCCTAAACGACCACAGTGCCTTATTTATGACACCATCAAATGCGTAAAAAAGCAACCCATAAATATTTATTTAAAATTCTAAAAATGAAGGAGGTGTGGGAGCTAGAAAAGTGAAAGATGTAAGCGCTTTCTATTTCAGAAAACGCTAAAGCTTAGGGTCTCACAAAATATCCCAATTTCTTGCGTTAACGTTCCCACTACTCTTTAGCCAATAGGCGCACGAGCTGGCGGTCTGCTAGTTGACCGTAAACCAATGATCATGAAGCAGTTTGTCGCCCTGTATCCAATCGCCAAAGCGTATGAAAAATGGCGACTGATCAAAGCATACCTGGCATTTGTGAGCATCGTTTGGTTAGATAGGTTCATTAGAGTTTGCATTTTTGCACCATTATGTGCAACTGAGTGTCTCTACCATTTCTTCAAGTTTTATTAAATAAATAAACACCTTTTGCCAGAATAAACACGTTATCTTTTTTGGTTTGACCTATTGCGGCTTCGAATAGGTAATAAATGTGCTACTATGTCGGTCGTATTTTCTAATTTTAAGCTGGCCCCTCATAAAAAAGACAGGAGAGTTTGTTCCTGCCATAGGAAAACAGACTAAATATGTCATAAACACCACCGCTGGTTTAAAACGTCTCATGAATCTCATTGAATCTACCATAAGCCAGGACGTCAACTGTTCAAAAGCATCACTATTTAGTTTAAAACTTAACTTCGGAGGTGGTAGATGCAGCAAAGTGTGATAGAATCCAGTGGAATCCAATCGCTCATTTTATACATGAGCAACTATTGCAAGAGAAGGTGTTTGACAGCTATAGTGGACTGATCTGATGTCTTAGGTGGGTCCGTAAAGCAAGCGCAGGCCTTGTATTTAAGACACGCAATGTGTGGAAAAAACCTCTTTCCTAATTTTGCAGGCAAAAAGGGATGAAGTGTGATTTACGCCGTTTATTACTTTAATTAACGCAAAAAGCAATTTTTATCTTTAACCAATAAAAAAGTCCTGGATCTCCTCTCTACCTTCAAAAAGGACAGAGTGCCAACTCGTTTGCCTGGTGACCTTCCAGATTTTGGCGAGCAAATCTAAAAACTGTAATTCTCGTAAAATTGCAGAATTATGAACAAATCAGAGATTTTGTCTCCAAAGGCAAGCAATGTAACACTTCATGTAAACTGCGAGCAGCGCTTTCGCAGTATCCATGGTTCGACACGAATCTCTTCTTAAACATCCTTAAAGAATTCCCACACAATATATATATTTCTTGAGAAATTTACAGAATTGAGGAAAAATTTTTTCTAAAGTTGCAAGGAGAAGAGTAAACTGAGCCAGACAGCAATGTTATAACGTTTGCACCTTTTAAAATTTGGCCTCTTCTCAAAATTGTCAATAAGCCACCACATTCCTTAGCAAAGTTGTAAACAAATTGTTCTGGTTGATTTTGTTTCCAGAGGACCATTTGTCGATCGTATCATTTTACTTCTTTTTTGCGGGGAATGAAGGCGACTTCTTGACCAGATGCAGTCGCTAACTTACTGTCATCATGGGCGTAGATGAGCCCCAGCTCCTTCCAGCCCTGTGCTTCATGCAAGAAGCTAGCCAACGTGCTGCCCACATCCACCACTGCCGGGTGTAGGTTGATGGTGACGTTGAAGGCAGCATTGGTGCCAAGGTTTGCGTCCCACTGAGCAGTGAGGCAGGGAATGGCGTGCTGCTGGCACACTTGCATTGCTGCATGCGCCGCTAAACGAGTGTCGGGGCAGAAGATGGCCACAACTCCGGATGCGACTAGCGCACAAGCTGGGGATATATAAGTAGTAGCCCGAAAATATCAAGCAGACTGAAAGAATAGGTCGAGCTCCTGGCTTTCAACCCCAATAAACGCACTATGACTGTGTGATTTAAAGGTCACTAAAGAAAGTGGGGAGATAGAGATCGAGTTGAGGTCTGAACGGAGGACTTGGCTGATCGGTGAATAAATGGATAGACGACAGTCTTGTGAGCACAAGACCTCCACTTTTAGACGGAAAAGAGCAGGCTTACACTTTGCAAAAGCTTTCCAAAGACACTTAGCTGTCAGAATGCAGCAAAAATCATGGATGTAAACAGTGCAAGAGACGTTCCTTTTGCAAATGAATGCCTCTTGATAATGTAATAACTAATTCGAATTAGCATTTTGATCTGTGTTCATTGCAGGACTAAATTAAATTAAGTTATAAGTTGAGTGTTTTCTTCAAAAAAGAGACTTAAGAAACAACTTTAAAGCCTTGCGTTGCAATGCTCGGTTGTCTGTGATGTCACAGTTGACACAGTGACGGCTTCCTGTTAGTGTGTGGCGACTGACTGCGTTAGGCAGCATGGCACACAAGGAAATGGGCCACCGACAAAACAAACAAACAGATCGAATTAAACGAATTGAATGAACGACTTTTTTAATAAAATCAGACAACTCCACGACTGGGACTCGCTAAGAAGAAGAACATTTTTTCCAAAAGTATGTCACTTTGGCAGGCAATCCTTCCTTTTTTAGATACACTTTTGCCACTTTTAAACAAGTTTCCGCTATTGTGATGGCCTCATATGCTGTTGCCGTCTTGCGCCAGGGGCGGTAATGAAGAAGCCAAGTTTCCAATGTTTATGCAGCCCAAACGAAAGTAAAGATGTACAAAATTTTCGATTTTGGAAGCCTTTATATTTTTAGATTTCCTAAAAAAGAAACATCGACAGCGAGTCAATAAAAGTTCAGTTGCGTTCAGCAAATAGTCATTTAATTTTGACATTTTCGGGAAGAGGTGCACAGAACTGCCTGATAGTTTGGACAGGATGCACAAAGCAGGTGGAGGAGCTCAGCGATTGTTCTGGTTGGACCCAGCCTTTTACTTTTATTCGGAAAATTGCAACATAAAAATTAAAAAAAGGCCAACGAAGTCGCAGTATGTTTTGAGCAGGCGACTTCGAGCATCGTTCTGATTAAAATTACTGCGCAATTTAGCCGGCGGGATGGTTAATCACTTCTGTGGTCATTTCGTGCAACTTTTGAGCCACTGAGGGAGCCTAAGGGGTTCATGTCTAGTCAGAGAAATGCCAATTAACAAACATCCACTTCATTAATGATTAACTCCACTTACTGACAACGACTGTGTTTTACCTTTAGCGATTTTCACAAAGTCAAGGTTTATTCTCCATTCTCTCTTGCTAATGCCAATCCAACTTGCTGATAAACAACGAGGCTTCTTGCCGTTGAATTCGAAAACCTAAAAACTTAAAATTCCTTCCACTGTTTCAAAAATTTTCCGGAAAAATGCAACATATCTTTTAAGCACCCTACTGGACATTCCGGTCCGGGCCTTCGGGGAATATGGCAGACGACAATTTTTGAAGGTAGGTGGAGGGGCAAAAATAAAACATTTTCCTTTCTCCATTGACATATGAGCTGAGCATGCAAATTTTTGGCAATTGACAAAATTCTGCAAAATTTG